ACAAACTGAGAACAATCAATGATTTGTTAAAAAAATACTTTGCAAATATAATGATTACAAAGAAAATGGGAGGAAAATTAATTAAAATGAATTTTATTAAAATGAAAATTCAGCCGAAGCCGGTTTGGCTCAGTGGATAGAGCGTCGGCCTACGGACTGAAAGGTCCCAGGTTCGATTCCGGTCAAGGGCATATACCTGGGTTGCGGGCACATCCCCAGTGGGAGATGTGCAGGAGGCGGCTGATCGATGTTTCTCTCTCATCGATGTTTCTAACTCTCTATCTCTCTTCCTTCCTCTCTGTAAAAAATCAATAAAATATATTTTAAAAAAATAAAAAAATAAAATAAAATGAAAATTCATTAAAATTGATTTTAATATGATTATTTCTGAGTTATTTCAACTATAGAAAACATGAATAGGATGGGTAAATATTTTCCTTATGAAAGGTGGTAACTTTTTTTAATATTTAAATATTCTCTCCTAAGAATAATGAGGGTAAGATATTTCTAAGAGAGTTTCAAGATTATCAAAAAAATTAAAGAAATGACAGTGATATATTTAAGGAGATAATAGTCATAATTTTTTAGCAATGAACTTCTGTAAAGTTCACACACCTTAAACACCTAATAAATATTTGTAGAATGCAGAATGAATCACTGAAGATTAAAAAAATCTGGAACAGCAATTGTAATCAGTAGAAAACAAATATAAAGAAGTGCTGAATAGATGAAAAAATGAATCAACCTGAAATTAATTTCAGTCCCAATGGACAATGAATAAAACTCGGTCAACTTCAAAAATAAAAAAAATAAGGACAAACAGGTTAGCCATGAAACTCAAGGGGTAAAGGAGAGTTATTACAACATTATTTATAACAGGAAAAGGGGAAGGAAGGGAGGGAGGGAGGAGGGAAGGAAGAAGGAATCATTTCTATTAACACTCTTCATCCCACACAGACTCCCACTGTTGTTTTCCACAGCAAGTTAATTTTCAGCTTGCTCTTTCAAAATACTTCAAATTTACATTTGTGTAGTTTGCACAGGATCTTCACATATATTACCTCATTCCATCTTCACCACAATTCTCTAGTGTTTATTTTTAGCTCAGTATAATGGAGAAGGGAACTGAGGCTGCTGAATGGGAAATGCGTTATCCAAGATCATAAAGCTCATTAGTCGCTGTGCCAGTACTGGAGGCTGGGTGTCCTGCTTTCAAGGCCCAGGCCCTGTCGCCTAGAGTGCCATGTAGGTGAGATGCATTTTATATCATTCTTCATGGCCATTTATCCCTAAAAGAGAGCAATCAATATTTCGAAGCAGGTGGTCAAAGAACACTCACACCAAAGGACAAACTGGCCGAAAAACCATTTGGAGATATGTAAAACAACTTTAAAAATTGTTAGGCAGTCATTCTGAGATTAACAAAAGGAAATAATTCAAACAAATTAAAAGCTATATGCCCACCATTAGTTATTACAACATTATTTATGATAGAAAAGGGGAAAGAGCGGAAGGAAGGAAGGAAGGAAGGAAGGAAGGAAGGAAGGAAGGAAGGAAGGAAGGGAGAGGGAGGGAGAGAGGAGAAGCTAATTTCTATCAAAAGAGAGAGATGACTAAGTAAATCGTATTTCATAAAATTGGTGAATTATTATACTGTTACGATAGTTATGAAGACTAAAAACAACATGCAATATGTTCAGTCATTTTAGTTGGGAAATATACTGGGAAAAGCTGGCAGGGAACACAGAAACAGGAAAACAGTTTCTCTGTCTTCAACCCACGCCCTCCACAGCACTCCCTCCCACCAGTGTCCCGCCATGTCTCCCGACCTCCAGCCCCTTCTTCATCTTGGCTTCTAGAGTTGTGTCTTAGTTGCTTCCTATCACCCACAGAACTGATCTGAGTCTGCATTTCCAGGGGCATCAGAGAGAACTGCCACGCTAGGCCAGCAGCTGCCTCTCAATGATATGAGGCCCTGATAGCTGACCCCAAACAACAACAGAAAAAAAGCTGCTGACTTCCCCTTTAAGCTACTGAATTTAAAGAACAAAGGTTGAAGCTCCCTTAAATCAATCATTCCAAAGGTAGATGGCCTTGTACAGATAGAGGGTAACCTTGGGAAAGCTCAGAAAGACTGTTGTGCAAGGTGGCAGGGCCCAGGCTGCACGGCCCTCCTAGCCCTATTTTAGTCTTCCCAGTAGCCCTCCTTTGTGAGCATCAGAGCAGCGCACACACGTAGATATCTCTGTTTCATCAAGATTTATCTCAAACTCACTACCTCTGAGCAATACTTTTTACCTTGTTACTTGGCAAACAGGATCAAGTTATAACTATAAGCACTGTCCAAAGAACCTCCCCCACATTCTCTACACAAGAATGGAGAGGCTGCCTTCAGCCCAGAGCAAAGATAACCCTAGATACCTTGATAGCCTATGCAAATAGCAGCAAAGGTGAAAGAGACGCTGTGGAACACGAAGGTCACCTTGGGGCATGACGAAACTAGTATATAGACATATATATCCAGAAAACTTGTTTGGAAAGATGTTGCAAAGGTACATATCCGTTGTCTTCTAAGCTGCTCTATTTCTCATTAAAATGCTGATGCCACCAAGATTTTATCACAGCTTAGGTTATCTTTCATACAATCACTAAAATATGCAATAAAACACCAATTATAAAGAAACGCAAAAAAATTAAAATTAAAAAACGTCTCCCTCCCTTTCTTTTTCCTATTAGGACTGGTTCATTGCTGATTTAATAAATTTCTTACTGACTCCATCTCACTCTCCCTTCAGTGTCTGATGGCGTCATATTTGCATGGCAGCAAGTTTCTGGCTCAGGATCTTACATGGGTGCTGAGCTTTATAGTTTACATGTCGGAGCTGCATGACTGCCCTGGTCAAGTATCAAGGCATGAAGTGACTGATTAGAAGCAAGCAATGAATTCTAGCAATGCATGACTGCTTTTGTTTCAAATCAGAAAAAAATGCAGTTCTCAAGACTTTGGGATTCCAGGCTTTTCAGCCCAGACAGAGCAGCTGAGACCACTTAAGGTGGTGTCTGTCCCCCGTCCCCGTGTGGTTCCTTCCAGAAGCTGGAACCTCAGGCTGGAGGCAGGGGAGGAGGCAGCAGCCTGTACACTTCTCTGACGGGAGAGCATTCTTACAGATCCTTGGGGACATTTGGGTGCTAAATGGTTGCAGTGAAAACCAAGTAAGATCAGATAGACAGAGGTAATACTTCGAGACATCTACCTAAGAAAATCTTCCCCGGGAATGATTTCAATGAACTCCTTCCATCAAGCAACAAGGCACCAACTTTGAAATCCTCACCTACCTTTCCCCACCCTAACAGGATTTCTGAAGCACAGCTGCTGTCCGCAGGGTCTATTAGGTTTGAACCACTGGGCACATTTGATTGTCCTTGACTTACAGAGGCCCTTTCAGATAATTCAACCCAATACACAGCGTCTCTGATGAGCAAAAGAAAAGCCAAGGAACAAAGAAAAGCAGACTTTGTGGGTTAAAGGGAAGGGTGTGCACACTGGTTTTAGAAACAGCCAAATAGAGGAGAAATTGGGAGACCTGGGAAGAGGCAAGCAAGTCAAATGCTGAGGGAAAAGAGACATGGTCACAGGTAAAGGGTAATTTTATGACTGGTCAGGGGTCCTTAATTGGAGTCCTTAATGTTTGCTCCTCCTTCTAATAGAGCTCATGGCTCTAATGAACCTGTCCTTTTGCTTTAAATATTTTTTCATTTAAGGCCTTATTTTATGCCATTTTATGTTTCTCTTTCACACCTTTCAGTCTCATTTTTTCAATAAGATGATTGGCTCCTGAGGGCGAGTTCCTGTTCCAATTATTTCAGCCTCTCAGGGCAGGCTAGACAGGCACTGAGTGACACTCGTACCTATTAGATAGACTGGAAACCGATCATGAGGCTCTGTCATAAGAGCTCAACTGGCAATGTAAACTCCAGGAGACTAATAATAATAACGTCCATCCTTTCTTCTTTTTTTTTAAGAGAGAGAGAGGAACGTCAATTTGCAGTTCCACTTAGGCATTCACTAGTTGATTCTTGTATGTGCCCTTACCGAGGATTGAACCCGCAACCTTGCCGTATCGGACGATGCTCTAACCAACTGAGCTACCCAGCCAAGGCAATAACATTCATCTTTAGGCAGTAGCTCCTAAGTGCTACATACTTAATTCTGTGCTACAGATTTAATTCACACATTAGCTCTACATCTAACAACAACTTTACAAAGGGTATTACTGTTATTTCTAACTTCATTTTACAGATGAGGATAGTAACAGGTTTAGGATAGGTTAAGTGACTTCTCTACGGCCACACATTAAACACCTGAACTTCAAGCCCCAGTGTGCTGACCTCAAGACCCACACACTGTCCCCTGGTTTTCTGCTTTATGCAGCGCCTGCCACACTTTTATAATGATAGTAATCACAGCTAAAGCTTCTATGGAAGTTACTCTGTGCCGGGCACTGTTCTGAGGCCCTGTACACACATTAATTCATTCAAGCCTCACAACAAGCCTAGGAGGTGGCTCTATTATTATTCATTGACAGAATCTGGATCCCACATTATCCTGGACTTCTAAGTCAGGGCCAGAAGGAGATTCTGCGGGACAATGAAAGCTCACTGCTCTGCGTCTTTTTATCTAAAGGAAGAAATCCTCTAATCCACATAGCATCTCACCTGCACCAGCCCCAGGAGGGCCAGGAAGGGGGTCAGGGAGAAGAGAAGTAAGATGGAGTTTGGACGAGGGCTCTCTGCCTGCCTCTCAGCAGTCCTATAGGAGAGGCGTGGGTTGCAAGCAAGGGGAGGTGGGCAGAGCACCGCCTTGGAGGCCATCAGGGTTTCCTGGCAGCTTTCCTCTGCATCACCCTGTGCTTCATTCATTTATCCATGAAAGACCTTATACCAACCAAGTCAAACCCTTGTAAGAACAATATAAGTTAATCGTATTTTCTTCTTCTTAGGCTCACTCAAAAGTTTGGCACAACTACAACATAAATTTCCGCCCACATCAGAAGGGGCGGTTATCGATCACACTGGGATCCCATTGGATTGAACCGAACAGACCAGGAAACACGATGGATGTCCTCAAGTGCCAACAGTCCCTGGTTTCTGTGCTCGGGTGGTTTGCCAGCCCTATCCACGGGGACGGGGACTACCCAGAGCTGATGAAAAAGCAGCTGCTCTCCATTCTGCCCCTTTTCTCAGAAGCGGAGAAGAAGGAGGTGAGGGGCACAGCTGACTTCTTTGCCTTTTCCTTTGGGCCCAACAATTTCAAGCCCCAGAGCACCATGGCTAAAATGGGACAAAATGTGTCACTCAATTTGAGAGAAGTGCTGAACTGGATTAAGCTGGAATATGGCCACCCCCGGATCTTGATTACTGAGAATGGCTGGTTCACGGACAGTCATGTGAAAACAGAAGATACCACAGCCATCTACATGATGAAGAATTTCCTCAACCAGGTTCTTCAAGGTTGGTTGCACATTAGCTCAATTTAAAAGGATTTTTTGAATATTTATGATATATATTTAAAGTTGCCTTTGATTATATGATTATTGTTATCGCAGCTTTTTTATTGTCCAGTGTTAAATTATTTTACAGTATTTTTTATTGATTTCAGAAAGAAGGGGAAAGGGAGAGAGAGATAGAAACATCAATGATAAAAATCATTGATCGGCTGCCCCCTGCACACCCCCTACTGGGGATTGAGCCCGCAACCCAGGCATGTGCCCTGACAGGGAATCAAACCATGACCTCCTGGTTCATAGGTTGATGCTCAACCACTGAGACATGCTGGCTGGGCAACAACATTTTTTTAATGTTATCTCATGTTCTTTTTTAGTGAAAGCTTAAGAACAAAATAATTTTAGACTATAGATACATAATTAATTGGCAACAAGATGCTGTTTCAGTCAATAATGCTGAGAAAGATATGTCCAAAGTTTTTTTAACAGTAGAGCTTTACTCTAAGATGCTGACGGCTTTCGTGGAATTGTGCTTTCACTCTATCACATGTCCAAATGCTGAAAAAGTCCGAAGACACAGAATGAGCCATGAATCTCAAAGCTGAGTCATTTCTATTGATCCTGAGTATTTCTCTGACCCTTTCTTATCCCCTCATTTCTTTTCTATTACTCAAGTAGTGACATCTACAGGTGGCTGATTGAAATAAAGGAGCAGAACACAAACTCAAATCATGATGGCTCTGTCAGAGCTGGGCTCCATTTCGCGCAAATATAAAGGAATTCTCGGTAGATCCTTCTAAAATTCTGTAGCTATCTTTAAAAGCCACCTGTCTGAAGAAAAATCCCAAATTCTGCCAAAGAGAGTGCTCAGGGAGCGTCCTCAGGAACAGCAAGAGCCTGCTGCCCACCCTGCAGGAAGGAGCAGCATGGAACAGAGTCGTGCCCAGCCACAAGCATGTGTATAGGGGGCCTCTGGAGCAGAGGGCCTGTGCCTAACGCCATGCCCGTGGGCAGAAGGGTGTCATTTCCCAGGCGTCACTATTCCACCTCTCCTCAGTGCCCTATACCCACGGGGTTAGAACCAGGGCCTGTTAAAATGTGTTTATTTCAAACATCAGTGATCTTCAAGAAATCTCTTGGTCAGGATTTTTTACCTTTTAGGAAAAGGGTGTCAATGATAAAACCCAGAAAATGCACCCTAGCCAGTTTGGCTCAGTGGATAGAGCATCGGCCCACAGATTAAAGGGTCCTGGGTTCGATTCTGGTCAAGGGCACATACCTCGGTTGCAGGCTCGATCCCTGGCCCTGGGTGACAACCACTCGATGTGAGACACGTTGATGTTTCTCACTCTCTCTGTCTCTCCCCCTCCCGTCCACTCTCTCTAAAAATCAATGGAAAAATATGCTCGGGTGAGGATTAACAACAACAGCAAAAATCAAAAGTGCAGAAGTGAGGCATTCCTGTGAGAGAAATGAAAGCTTTTAGTAAAAAAAAAAAAAAAAAAAAAAAAAAAAAAAAAAAGTTTCCTGATTGGTTTTGAGTCTTTGTTGCTTTTATTGCTGCTGTCTGTTGATTTTCATATCTCAGGTTTACCCAACTCCTAAAAGTCGTTGAATCAGCGTTGTAAAGTTAGAAAGACCCTGAGAGATCATCTTTTCCAATCTTTTCTCTTTACAATTGAGAAAACTAAAGTCAAGAAACTTGCCCAACAGTACCCTCCCTTCCCCTGCCCCTCGGCCCAGTGAGTGCTTGTTCTCTTACATCACTGCACGACTTTCCCCTCCTTATATTTACATCCATGTATGTTCATTCTCAAAGCTAGTTTTTCAGTCCCTGAAGGATCGTTTCATAGAAGATAGTTTGTCCACAAATGGGAACCAACCCAAGCTTGAAATGAGACCCTCTTGGTCCTAAGCAGACATTTGTCCCAAGGAGTTCTGGGAACCACCATGCCCTCTGACACAGACCTGCACACCAAGTCTCAGGAAAATGTTCAGTTGGGTGCTTTGACTGTGGTTCACTTGCTGGGGGAGGACCATCCTGGGTGGAAAAAAATAAATAAACGCTGCTTTTCAAGGATAAACATGAATTTTCTATTTGATCTAATGGGCCTACAAATTGGGCAAAAGGTTGGTTTCACAACACGCTGTCCCCTTGGCCTGGTGTTGGTGAAGCCATCAACATGAACGAGTGTGTTTAGGCCTCCAAACATCTCTGATTTTTTTTTTTCTCTCTCTCTCTCTGTGCAGCAATAAGGTTTGATGAAATACGCGTGTTTGGTTACACTGCCTGGTCTCTCCTGGATGGCTTTGAATGGCAGGATGGCTACACCACACGTCGAGGATTATTTTATGTGGATTTTAATAGTAAACAAAAGGAAAGAAAGCCCAAGTCCTCAGCACATTACTATAAACAGATCATACGAGAAAATGGTTTCCCTCTAAAAGAGTCCACCTCCGACGTGCGGGGTGAGTTTCCCTGCGACTTCTCCTGGGGCGTCACTGAGTCTGTCCTCAAGGTAAGTGGCTACTTAACTCTAAGGCGGGACAATAGTGTTCAAAATTTTATTGCACTTACTCAGTGGCAGCTAAGAGAGAGCCGCAGACCATATCAAATGCCACGATTACTGGGAGGTTCTGAAGGGAACTTGGGGGAAGAGGAAGGATGAGGAAGAGTAGAACGAAGGCTTCCTGAGAGCCTTGCGTGTGCCGGGACTCACGATGGGGAGCTTGGTGAAGGAGTCGGAGAGGATGCCCTCAAGTCTAGAAACAACTGCGTTCTTTTTGTGAGAGGCACTTGTGAGCAGTGTCAAAGTTATAGGGAAAACATTTTATAGGTTTTTGTTTTGCCAAAAGCAAATTACTCAGTGGCCCTTTATTTAAGTCATTCCTGTTATTTGATAGATTTAGGTAATTTGCCTTATGAGGTCTCTATATCCCAGAGGGGCCTTCCCACACATCCCATTCCTCACCTTCTTCAAATATTTACTCAAATGTCATGTTCTCAAAAAGGCTTCCTTCCACTCCCAAAAGTCATAGCCCCATTACTATCACCTCTCACCTCTTTCCTCTTTATTTTTTTCATGTAGCACTCATCACTCCCTAACATATATGGACTTTACACATTTTCTCCTCCAGGTTATATTTACTGAAATATAAGCGATATAACAATGTTGTGTAAGTGTAAGATATACAGCTTTTGTTGATTTGATACATTTATATATCACAAAATCATTACCACCGAGGTGTTAGCTACCACCTCCACACCGTCACACAATTCCCACTTCTTTTCATGGTAAGAGCGCTTAAGATATACTCCCTGCCAGGCCGGTGTGGCTCAATGGCTCAGCATCAACCCACAAACCAAGAGGTCACTGGTTCAATTCCCGCTCAGGGCACATGCCTGGGTTGCGGGCTCGATTCCCAGTATGGGGCATGCAGGAGGCAGCTGATCGATGATGTTTCTCTCTCATTGTTTCTATTTCTCTATCCCTCTCCCTTCCTCTCTCTAAAAATCAATAAAAACATTTTTTTTTAAAAAATCATACTGTCTTAGCAACTTTCAAGAATATAACACAGTATTATGAACCATAGCCACCATGCTGTACTTGTTAATCTTATAACTAGAAGTTTGTACCCTTTGACAAATATCTTCCCACTTTCCCCACCTCCCAGCCCCTGGTAATCACTTCACACATTCTTCTTAGTTATCACCCGTCTTCCCCACTAGAATGCAAACTTTCTCTGCATGAGGGTGGGCATGTTTGAGGCTTTGCTGCCTGCGATGTGTATGCCTCACTAGAGAAGCTCAGGCTCAATACATAGTGAATGAAAAAGGTCAACTTTTATTGTTGTTAATCCTCACCCAAGGATATTTTTCCATTGATCTTTCAGAGAGAGTGGAAAAGAGAGAGAAACATCAATGTGAGAGAAACACATAGATTGGTTGCCTCCTGCATGAGCCCTGATGAGGGCCCTGGCCGGGGAGGAGCCTGCAATCCAGGTAAATGCCCTTGACTGAAATCAAACCCAGGACCCTTTGGTCCGCAGGCCAACGCTCTATCCACTGAGCCAAACCGCTAGGGCAAGGTCAACTTTTAGAGCCAAGTGAGACCTTAGGGAACCCCTGTTCCAAATGCTTCATTTTATGAATGAGGAAAGTGAGATATATCAATTAATAATTGATACCTAAGTGACTTGCCCAAGGTAACACAAATAGTGGCACAACTGTAACAAGCCACCCTCAAGCTCCCAGAGGTAGAGTGCTTTCTCCAAAATAATAATAACAACTATTTTTAAGCCCTTATTACGTGCCAAGCATTTACCTAAATGTATGCAAGTTGTCTTTAGCTAATCTTAAACCCCTCATTTTATAGGCAAGAAAACTGAAGATTAGGGAAGTTACATAATTTGTCCAGGTTCCCCAGATCTGTCTCCTGACCAGTATAAGACCTCACAGTACCACACTATTGCCTGTATTCTAGAAGCATATAGAAAGACAACAAGATGTACAAAGATGGGACCAGACAAAAGGGCTCAAACCATAATAAGTAGGCAGTATTCACAGGTTATGAATCTCAAACCCTGTCAATATGTAAACAAGACTTTAGTAAAAGCCCAGAAGTGATAAAAGGAGAAACATACATAGAGCCACACAGACACAGTGACTCACCTTCAGCTCGTGTACCCTACAGAGCCACTTACTTACCCAGTTCCTGTCTCCTCCTCCACACAGCATAGTCAGACAGCCATCTCTTCCCTGCCACTTCAAGTGGGTTTATATTTTTCAAAATTCCAGGCCTAGCAAAGAGAGATCCAAAAGAGACAGGAGTTCTTGCCTGTACATGACCCAACCTGCAATTTCCTCCTGCCCTATCTGAAGACCTCCATCTGTTTCACATTGATTGGTGATGTGAATGTCTGCCCCATTCTAAAGACCCTATTCCTAGTCTCAAGAGCTGATCACTCAGGTCAGGGGAAAGTAATTCTGCAATAAACTAGGTCTGGGTTTCATGTTCACACCTGCAGCCCAGCAAGAAGTCAGCTCCCTTTGAATTTGAACTAAGAGTGAAGTTGAATCGTTTGCCAAGAAAAATTAGGATGCTTTCTGACATTTCAGCCAGAGGATGTATGAATAGATGCTGTGCTAGCAAAAACTAGATGTCTCTATAGGAAAACTGACAAAATGAAAGTATCACTTTAAGAATATTATTGTGGCCTTAGCTGGTTTGGCTCAGTGGATAGAGCATCAGCCTGTGGACTGAAGGGTCCCAGGTTCGATTCCGGTCAAGGGCACATGCCTGGGTTGCGGGCTCAATCCCCATTAGGGGATGTGCAGGAGGCAGCCAATCAATGATTCTCTCTCATCATTGATGTTTCTATCTCTCTTTCTCTCTCCCTTCCTCTCTGAAATCAATAAAGATATATTACAAAAAAAAAAAATAAGAATATTATTGTGCCATTTGTGACAAAACGAATGGACCTAGAGCAGGCAGGGGTGGGCAACCTTTTTGTGAGTGTGTGCCAAAACCAGCAAAATCTCTGACTCAAAATTCTTCTGCATGCCAACCCTAATTTTTTGAGAACATGTTACGCCTACTTGATATCTCTTAAGGTGTACGTATGTGAAGAACCTTGAATAATAAAATTCATTCGAGCGACAAAAACACAGTATATAATGATGAAAAATGCATTTATTTTTTAATGTATACATGTATACTGATAGTCCGACAGAAAACTTTATGACTCCGTTTGATATTATCAGTGGGACTTTTGCTGCTGCATCACTGATGACAGAGATTTTACATCAGGTTTATATTTCGTGACCTTCAGAGATATGCACGAGCTACTACTTTCATCCGTCAGGCTACTCCTATACCGAGACTTAACAAAATTCATCACTGAGAACAAAGATTCACAAGCGTATGTGGATGAAACCAAAACACTGGTCGGATCTAGGAAGGCAGGGAGAGTTAAGGCAGAGGCATAGAAATTGCTCTTCCCCTCTCTCGTCAATCCATGTCTATGGTCTTTAAGATAACTTGTTATGTAAAATTATTTATTTATCTAAGATGCACCTACACTGAATTTATCTGAAAAATAAAAAATTCGATATTAAGAAAAAAATTGTAAGTGGAAGATTATAAGAGAGGGTTTCGTGTGCCAGCAAAAGTTACTGGCGTGCCAGGTTTGGCACGCGTGCCAGGGGTTGCCCACCCCTGACCTAGAGGGTATTAGTATGCTAAATTAAGTAAATCAGAGAAAAACAAATACTGTATCATTTCATTTATATGTGGAATTTAAAAGACTAAACAAATGAACAAACAAAAACCAAACAGACTCAGAGAGAATACAAACTGATAGTTGCCAGAGGGTTGGGAGATGAAGGGATGGGCAAAAAGGTGAAGGGGATTAAGAGGTACAAACTTAGTTATAAATAGGTCACGAGGCTACAATGTGCAGCATAGGGAATAGTCAACAATGTCACAATAACTGTATGATGACAAATGGTTACTAGACTTTTCATGGTGATCACTTTGTAAGGTATGTAAATGTCAAATCACTATGTTGTATACCTGAAACTAACATAATATTGTGTCAACTGTACTTTAATTTAAAAAAGCTTTATATCCCAAAATGAAAATAAATATATTACTATGCCTACCCTCACACATCCCCGCTTTATACCCACTTACCCCACCTCTTAGCATTCTTTCCTCCTCCAACATTTTGTTTTGTGAAATTTCAAACTAGTACAATAAACACACATATTCCCCTCATCAAGACAAATTGATTGTTAACATGTGGCCACATTTACTTTCTCTCTCATTATAATATTATGTATTTTAGTATTGATTCAATATCATTTAATGTACAATCCATATTCAAATTTTCCTAAATGTTCCAAAAATGTCCTTTATAGATTTTTTAAAAAATTGATCACAAACAAGGATAACACATTGGCTTTCATGTATCTTTAGCCTCTTTTAATTCAGAGCAATCCCCCAACCTCACAGTATTGACTTTTTTGTTTCTTTTCTTTTTATTTTATTTTAGAAAACAATTAAAAAACAGGAGGACAGCTTAAGGGAGCTGTGGGACAATGTGAAACATAACAATATTAGAATAGTAGGTGTTCCAGAAGAGGCAGAGAGGAAGAAAGGAATAGAGAGGTGCTTGAAGAAATAATGGTAGAAAACTTCCCTAACCTGGTAGAGGAAAAAGTCACACAAGGTCAGGAGGCACAGAGAACCCCAAACAAGAAGAACCAAAACAGACCCATGCCCAGACACATCATAATTAAATGCCAAAAATTAAAGACAAAGAGAGAATCTTAAAGGCAGCAAGAGAAAACTGTTACCTACAAAGGAGTTCCCATAGGCTGGCACCTGATTCTCATCAGAAACTCTGTAGGCCAGAAGGGAATGGCATGAAGTACTCAAGGTAATGGAAAGCAAGGATCTGAGACAAAGATTACTATATCCAGAAAGGCTATCATTCAAAATAGACAGTCAAATAAAGAGCTTCCCAGACAAAAAAAGGCTAAAGGAGTACATCACCACCAAACCAGCATTACAAGAAATGCTAAAGGGATTGCTCAGAAGAAGAAACAGAGAGAGAAACCTATCTAATCTAATAAAAGAGAAACATGGTAATTGGCATACAACCGCTACCCTTCCCATTGGCTAATCAGGGAGATATGCAAATTAACTGTCAGCCAAGATGGCAGCCGGCAGCCAGGCAGCTTGAAACTAACATGAGGCTTGCTTGCTTCAGTGACGGAGGACTCCAACGTTCCCCACCGGCTGCTGCAGGCCTCTGAGCCTGCAGTTTCAAACATTGTAACAAATATAGACGCCCAGAAACCAGCTTTCAGTGGCTGGGATCTCAGAGCTGGAGTCAGAGCTGGAGTTATACATTGTTTCGAACCGAAACAAGCCAGATACCTGCTTTCAGGAGCGGAGGCCTAAGAGCTGGAGCCTCAGAGCTAAAGCTGGCCCAGAATTTAAAAAAAGAAAAGAAAAAAGGAGCGGTTGGGAGCTTCCGTCACCTGCCAGCCTGAAAACAGCCCTCAGCCCCTCACCCATACTGGCCAGGCACCCCAGTGGGGACCCCCACCCTGAAGGGTGTGTGACCAGCTGCAAACAGCCATCATCCCCTCATCCAGGCTGGCCAGGCACCCCAGTGGGGACCCCCCACCCTGATCCGGGACACCCTTGAGGGCAAACCAGCCAGCCCCCACCCGTGCACCAGGCCTCTATTCTATATAGTAAAAGGGCAATATGCCTCCCAGCACTGGGATCAGCAGAGCTGAGAGGCCTCCCGGCACCGGGATCAGCATGACGGGAGGCAGCGCCCAAACCCCCTGATTGCCCTGCGGCTCTGTATGTGACAGGGGGCAGGGCCACAACCTCCCTATCGGCCCTGCTCTGTTCGTGACAGGGGAAGGTGCCCCAATGCCACCCCCACCCCCCGCCACGGGCCCTGCTCTGTGTGTGATGGGGTAGAGCCATAACCTCCCCATCGGCCCTGCCCTGAGTGTGACAGTGGCGGCACCCCAACCCCCTGATCGGCCCTGCTGTGTGGGTGATAGAGGGTGGCGCCCCAACCCCCTGATCCGCCCTGTTCTGTGTGTGACAGGGGGCGGTGTGCCAACTCCCCTATTGGCCCTACTCTGTGAGTGACAGGGGGGAGCTCCTCAACCCCCTGATGGGCCCTGCTCTGTGCGTGACAGGGGGGAGCGCCCCAACCCCCTGATGGGCCCTGCTCTGTGCGTGACAGGGGGGAGCTCCCCAACCCCCTGATCGGCCCTGCTCTGTGCGTGACAGGGGGCAGCGCCCCAACCCCCTGATTAGCCCTGCTCTGTGAGTGACACGGGGTGGCGCCGCAACCTCCCCATCGACTCTGCCTTGAGTGTGACAGGGGGCGGTGCCCCAACCCCCCAATCGGCCCTACCCTGAGCATGACTGAGGGTGGCATCGCAACCTCCCAATCCGCCCTGCTCTGTGCATGACGGGGGCAGCGCCCCAACTCCCCAATCGGCCCTGCTCTGAGCCCGACCAGGGGCTGCACCTAGGGATTGGGCCTGCCCTCTGTCACCTGGGAGCAGGCCTAAGCCAGCAGGTCGTTATCTCCCAAGGGGTCCCAGACTGCGAGAGGGCACAGGCCGGGCTGAGGGACCCCCCCCCCCCCCGAGTGCACAAATTTTTGTGCACCAGGCCTCTAGTCTATCTACATAAAAAGCCAGGGACCATAACGGCCATAACGACTGGTCACTATGATGCCCACTGTGGCCAACTAACCAGCCGATCAGGGGGTGGGGCTGGCCAGCCACCCTCGTGGCCTCTCCCTCCTGCCCGCCCGCCCCTGATGGGACTCTCCCACCCCGATCAAGAGCGGGCCTGCTGGCCAAACTCCCCCTCCCTTCCCCCTGGCCAGTCCCGCCCCCAATCAGGCTACCCCACCACAATAGGCCCACAGCCCTTCCCCTCGGCTGCCCCATCCCTGATCACCCTCCCACCCCAAGAGGGGGTGGGGCCAGCTGGCCAACCTCCTGTAGCCCCTCCCCCACCTGGCTCTACCCCAGATCAGACCCCACTCTGATCAGGGGCAGGGCTGGCTGGCCAACCACCCAAGGCCCCTCCCCCAGGCCACTGGCCCCTGATTGGCACCCCCACCCCATTCGGGGGCAGGACCGGCCAGCCCACCACCCCTCCTCCTGGCCGGTCCTGCCCCCCAATCGGTCCCCCAACCCCAATTGGGGGCGGAGCCTGCCAGCCAATCACCTGCAGTCCCTTCCCCCAGCCAGCCCGGCCCTGATCAAAGCAGGCTAGCCAGCCAACCTCCCACATCTCCTCCTCTCGACAGGCCCAGCTCTCATCTGCCCTGATTGGGGCTAGGCCGGCTGTAACCCAGCCGTGCACGAATTCCTGCACTGGGCCTCCAATATTGGCTTTTTTGAAGAGTCCAGGCCAGTTGCTTATAGAATGTCTCATGGATTTCTTATTGTTTCTTTATTAGACTCAGTTAACCATTTCTGGACATAATAGTACATAGACGATGCATATCACATCAGAAAGTACATGACATCAGCTTGTTTCATTACTAAAGACATTAGTTGAAGTAGTTGTCACCAGATTTCTTAGTTAAGGTGGCATTTGCCAGATCTCTTCATTGAAAGGTATCTTTTCCATTTGTAATTAAAAAGTAATCTGATGGTGATACTTTGAGACCATATAAATATCCTATTCCCCAATAGCATTTCACCCAATGGTCTTCATACTGATTCATGAATCTTGTCTTAATTATACTTTATAAATTGCAAAGTGGTGAATTTATCCTGTTTGTTTGTTTTTGTTTTTATTGGTTTTTAGAGAGAGAGGAAGAGAAAGAGAGAAACATTTATTGTTCCACGTATTTATACATTTGTTGTTGGTTCTTGTATGTGCCCTGACCTGAGATTGAACCCACAACTTTGGCATATTGGGACAATGCTCTAACCAACTGAGCTACCTAGCCAGGGCCAAAATGACAAATTTCTAATTAGATTATTCCATCTACATTTATTGTGTGTGTGTGTGTGTGTGTGTGTGTTTAATGATATTGTTGTCATTGTTTCATTATTCCTTTTGATGCTCAAATTATCTCAAATTTGGCCAATGGGACTCCTTTCAGCTACTCCTGTCTTTTTGAGATTTCCTTTTCTATTCTTAAGCACTTCCTTATTTTTCTGGCACAAGATGTACCAGCATCACCTCATTCTCCTCCTGCCCCAGGCCTGGAAAAAGCCATATTCCTCCAAAGCTCAGGATCCTTTTAGTGGGGAATAATTTAGAACCAAGCTCTGGGAGCTAGGGTTGAGAGCAAGGTGCATTATCTTTAACTAGATCTGTTAGCAGATTAGTCACACACCACTTGCTAAGACTAATGCTTTCTGGAGGTTTTTACAAGTAAGACATTTTCATTTAATATTGCCTTACCTTATGGCAAGATTGCCCTTTGTAAACACCCTATCATTACCAGGATGCTCTGATGTTTCAAGACACTGAAACTGGCCATCTAGGCTAGAAGGATTTTACTCAAATAATTATATACAGATTTAACTTCATGCTCACCTGATCAATGTTCTCTCAGTTTAATGTTCTAGATAACTGGTTGACAGATGGCAAGTGAGCAGTGATATGGTTTCATAATTAGACTATGAAAAATGACACATGCGAAAACAATTAGAGGGAAAATATTTACCAAAGGTTAATTATCATTTTTTTCCAGGTGCACTTAAATTCAGCCATGGGGAGAAAAGTACTTTAAAACAAGAACTTAAAACAAGTCATTTTTAAAAAAAACCAACTTTTACTTTTTCTTATTAATCTTGAATTTGGAAGTGTTTTTTTCTTAAGCCCTCTTCTGTTATAATTTAGCTAGCAGGCAATTATTGCAACCAGGGAAAACTAAACCCAAGTCATGTCTAGTTTATGTTTGTACAGTGCTTTAGAGTTGACAGAGCACTTTCCCAGAGTCACTGACTCCTCACAGCACACCTGTAAGGTGAGTGAGATTGAGCGGTCACTGTACAGGGTTTTCAAGCCTGAGTTTCAGAAAGAGTCCAGGGCTATCTCCTGGTGAGCAGTAGGGAACGAGACACCATCAGATCAAAGAGTCAACTTGGGAGTTTCTGGGGAGTATTTTACTGTCCTTTCTGCTTGTATCCAAGTGCCTTGCATAAAGACGGTGTTCAGTATTCTCCTGGTGGATGAGTAAATGCTATGTTCTCACAGGCATATGGGTGGGGAGAATATAATGATGCACATGTGATGATATCATTGGACTTTTCAAACCGAAGAGGGTGTTAGAGATTTGCATTCAGCAAAAGCAAGGGGTCATTCTCTACCCCGTCACACAGGCTTCTTTTAGGAACTTTGGCTGGGATCAACTAGCCTCCTCTAACCCGAAGTGCTGCCCTCAGTGAAATCCTCTACACTGGAATTTTAACTTTGCTTCAATTTATGGCAGTGTTTAAAGGGTCCATCTTCCATGATTCTTGTCAACTGAGAGTACCAAGCCAATATCCTGATGCATTTGAATAAAATCACATGAGACCCCATCATCTGACCTGGGTTTCTAGGACAAATTAACTGGAAAACAGCCTCTCAGGGTTTTCTGTAAAACAGCTTATTTTCCAAGCTAAGCCCTCCTGGGTGTGGTTCCTTCCTGAAGTCTTCTGGTCTCCCTAGGAAATTTCAAGGGCTAGAAAAGATCATCCATCAGGCCTTTTCCATGACATCACCAGAACAGCTGGAACACACAGGTCATTATACTAGGTTAAGAACATACTCATCATGTTATCTTCTCTATTGTCAGTGAGAGGCAAAATAAGAGCAGGCCCTTCTCCCTCTCAGATGATGCATGCTGACAGCCTGTCCACCTGGGTGTACTTGACCTGAATGTGCTTGTTTTTCACAGCCAGAGCTGGTGGCTTCCTCCCCACAGTTCACCGATCCTCACCTGTATGTATGGAATGTGACAGGCAACAGGCTGTTGCACCAAGTGGGAGGAGTGAAGCTGAAAACACGGCCAGGTCAATGCACAGATTTTGTCAGCATCAAAAGACAGGTTGAGATGTTGGCAAGGATGAAAGTCACCTACTACCGGTTTGCTCTGGACTGGCCCTCAGTCCTTCCTACTGGCAACCTGTCCACAGTTAACCGACAAGCTCTGCGGTACTACAGGTGTGTGGTCAGTGAGGGCCTGAAGCTCAACATCTCCCCAATGGTCACCTTGTACTACCCGACCCACACCCAGCTCGGCCTCCCCACGCCGCTGCAGCAGAGCGGGGGGTGGCTGAACCCATCGACGGCCAAGGCCTTCCAGGATTACGCCGGGCTGTGCTTCCAGGAGCTGGGGGACCTGGTGAAGCTCTGGATCACCATCAACGAGCCCAACCGACTGAGTGACATCTACAACCGCACTGGTAACGACACCTACAGGGCAGCCCACAACCTGCTGATCGCCCACGCCCTGGCCTGGCACCTCTACGACCGGCAGTACAGGCCGGCCCAGCGCGGGTCGGTCTCTCTGTCTCTGCATTCGGATTGGGCGGAACCCGCCAACCCCTATGCAGAGTCGCACTGGCAGGCGGCAGAGCGCTTCCTCCAGTTCGAAATCGCCTGGTTCGCCGAACCCCTCTTCAAGACCGGGGACTACCCGTTGGCCATGAGGGAGTACATCGCCTTCAAGAACAGGCAAGGGCTCTCGCGCTCCACGCTGCCTCAGTTCACCGAGGAGGAGAGGCGGCTAGTCAAGGGCACTGCCGACTTCTATGCCCTGAACCACTTCACCACCAGGTTCGTGATGCACGCGCGCCAGAACGGCAGCCACTATGACACGGACAGGGACGTCCAGTTTCTGCAAGACATCACCTGCCTGAGCTCCCCCTCCCGCCTGGCCGTGCTGCCCTGGGGACAGCGGAAGGTGCTGAGCTGGATCCGGAGGAACTACGGAGACCTCGATGTTTACATCACGGCCAATGGCATTGATGACCCAGCTCTGGAAAACGATGAACTCCGAAAGTACTACCTAGAGAAATACATTCAGGAGGCCAGGAAAGGTGAGGTTCGCGGGCCACCAGCTACTGGGAACAAAGGAGGAGGGGAGCCCCGGCCGGTGGGATCAATGGTTAGAGGGACAGCCCCACGCACAGAATGGTCGCAGGTTCTATTCCCTGTTGGGCACATGCGGGAGGCAATCAGTCCAGAGGCAACCAGTCTTTGTCTCTCTCCTTCTTCCTTCCCTCCCACTCTCTCTGAAAAACAATGGGAAAAATAAATATCCTCTGGTGATGATTACCAAAACTAAAAGAGGAGAGTAGGCCCCTTAGAGACAGTGTTAGCTCATTATGGAAAATTTGGCAAGTTTAGAAAAGTATTTTTTTTTAAATAATCACCTGAAATCCCATTCTCCAAAACAAGCACCTAGACTTGTGCTTGCTAGACATTTTTAATACAATTGAGCTCATGCTGTAATGCAATCTTGTACCCAACTTTTTCTTAATATCACATTATAAATGTGTTCCTTGTTAACATTATCTTAACGGCTCATGTAGAGGAGAAATGGGTACCCAGCCCTGAGGGCTTAAGTCTTGGCCCATGAAGGAATATATCCCCATCCCCATTACCAATTTTAGACCTAATTTAGTACAAAATATGGAAGCAGACCCTCACCCTCTAGCCTAAAGCAATATTAGGACTGTTACTGCATTTGAAAGCAGAAAGTCAGGAGATCCAGAATAAGAGAAAATAACTTTATTTACAATACTGGGTATTTTAATTTTTTCTTTTTAAGGAAAAAGTTGCATTATTTTTCTGGGGCATACATGAGAAAATTAGTGTTATGGTCAAATTCCTGAGACACTAGCCAATAAACAAAAAAAAGTGGAGATGGTAATAAGTGGATATATATTTTTAAAAATATTTTAATATGTTTTCATTGATTTCAGAGAGAGAAAGGGAGAGGGAGAGACAGAAATATCCATGATGAGAGAATCATCAATTGGGATGCCTCCTGCACACCCCTTACTGGGGGGATTGAGCCCACAATCCAGGCATGTGCCCTGAACTGTGACCTCCTGGCTCATGGATTGACATTCAACCACTGAGCCACACTGGCTGGGCAAAGTGGGTATATTTTTAAGGTAAAGTCAACAGGATTGCATGTGAGAAAAGAGTAAAAAATGATTCCAAAGTTTTGGCTTGAGTAATTAAAAGAATGAAGTAGCCCAGCCGGCATGGCTCAGTGGTTAAGTGTTGACCTATGAACCAGGAGGTCACCATTCAATTCCCAGTCAGGGCACAGGTTGTTGCAGGCTCGATCCCCAGTGTGGGACATGCAGGAGGCAGCCAATCAATGATTCTCCCTCCTTCTCCCTACCTCTCTGAAATCAATAAAAATATATTGAGGAGGGGGAGGGGGGAGGATGACGTGGCCATTTACTAGGTTAGAGGAGACTGGTAGGCACATTTTTGGAAATGAGTTGTTTGATGTTGCACAGTTTGAGATGTCTGTTAGACATCCAATTAGAGATGTCAAGTAAGCTAATAGGTGTAAGTCTCAAGTTCAGAGGAGAAGGTCTGGGCTGAGATACATATTTGGGAGCCAAGAAAAAAAATGGATGGTATTTTTTTTTGGTATTTTTTAAAAATAGGGCTTATTGAAATCACTAAGGGAGCAAGGATAGAAAAGGGGGGCTCTGAGTTCTGGGACACTTCAGTATTCAGAGGTCAGAAATGAGAAATCAGCAAAAATCACTGACGAGGACCCACTGCTGTAAAAGATAACCAACAGCCTGTTTATATGTTAAACTAGCTGTCCAGTGCATGAATTCATGCACAGGTGGGGTCCAGCCAGCCCGGTTCCAATCAGCAAATTGGGGCCAGGACTTTCAGGAGGAGGTGGCGGGAGGTTGGCCGGCCAGCCCACCCCGATCAGGGCCAGCTGGGGGGAAGGGCTGCAGGCAATTGGCTGGTGGGTCCCACCCTCAATTGGTGTGTGTAGGGGGGGACTGATGGGGGGTGGAGCTGGCTGGGGGTGGGGATGCAGGCCAATTGGGGTGGTGGGGACTGATGGGGGATGGGGCCGGCCATGGGGAGGGGCTGTGGGCCAGCCAGCCCCACCCCCAAATGGGGGGGCCGATAGGGGGCCAGCAGCCTGGGGGAGAGGCCATGGGTGGTTGGCTGGCCAGCCCTGCCCCTGATTGGGGTGGTGGAGGCCCATCTGGTGGGGGCTGATTGAGGGTAGGGCCAGCCATGGGGAGGGGCCCTGGGAGGTTGGCCAGCAGGCCCCACCCCAGATCGGGCCAGTTCGCTGGCCGCAGTGGGTGTCATAGCAACTGGTCATTCCGGTCGCTGGCTTTTTATATATATAGAATATATAGATGATACAGTAGTGAGGGAAGATACATGAGAACAGATGGAGCAATGTCCTTGAGTAGGCAAGAGAAAATAAACTTCGTTTGTAAGTGGAGGAATCAGCCTCCTCCAAGAGCACAGACAAATCAGAGTAATAAGAAGGCAGAATATATGTGTGCAGATGCCAGTAGGTAGGTAGATATTTGTGGAAGATTGAGGAAGTTCCCTGAGCACTTCAGTTTTTCAGTGAAGTAGGAAGGTCATTACTTCAAAGCAAGAATGACAGAGGACCCCTAGCCAGTTAGGCTCGGATAGAACGTTGACCTGAGGACTGAGGGTCCCAGGTTTGATTCCAGTCAAGGGCACATACCTAGGTTGCAGGCGCAATCCAGTCAGGGCATGTGTGGGAGGCAACCAGTCAATGTATCTCTCCCCTTCCCTTCCACTCTCAAACTCAATGGAAAAATATCCTCAAGTGGAAATTAGCAACAATAAGATAACTCCCCCATAAAACCATTAAAAAAAAAAGAGTGAGTGACTAGGGGAAACCAAGTGTGGTTATAGGGCAACACTAAGGGCACATTTGAGGTTTGGAATCAGGCCAAATAGGTAAGATTTTTCCCTATGAACAAGTGACAATAAGTCCTTCATGGCATCAACTCTCAAATTTGCTTTTCCCTCCAGCTGTGTTTGTGTCATTTATAAATCAAAGTTTTACTTCAAATTTCTTTTTTAGACTTAACTATGTATTTTCACCACCTTTGTATCAATTACAAAAGAATATAACAGCCCTAACTGGTTTGGCTCAGTGGATAGAGTGTCGGCCTGCAAACTGAAGGGTCCCAGGTTCGACTCCAGTCAAGGGCATGTACCTTGGTTGTGGGCACATCCCCAGTGGGGAGTGTGCAGGAGGCAGCTGAATAGATGTTTCTCTCTCATCGATGTTTCTAACTATCCTTCTCCCTTCCTCTCTCTAAAAAATCAATAAAATATATTTTTAAAAAAGTATATAACATCCCTTTAGCATGGCCCATGTGATTCAGTGGTTGAGGGTCAACCCAGGAACCAAAAGGTCACTGGTTCTATTTCCAGTCAGGGAACAGGCCCAGGTTGCTAGCTTGATCCCCAAAAGGGGGTGTGCAGGAGGCAGCCAATCAATGATGCTCCTCTTTAATCAATATTTCTCTCTCTCTATCCTGCTCCCTTCCTCTCTCTCTAAAAAAACATTTTTTAAAAAGACCTTTAATGAAAAATCACCCTTTTTTATGGGCATGGGTTTACCTTGTTTCAATGAAAACTAAATTCTTATTCAAAGGTGTGTTATAATCCATTTATGGTTAATAATGCTCATTTCTGATATTTTTCTTTTTCAGCATACCTGGTTGATAAAGTCAAAATCAAAGGCTATTATGCATTCAAACTGACTGAAGAAAAATTTAAACCCAGATTTGGATTCTTCACATCTGACTTAAAAGCTAAATCCTCAATTCAGTTTTACAACAAACTGATCAGCAACGGTGGCTTCCCTTCTGAGAACAATAGTCCTAGATGCAGTCAGACTCAAAGAAACACAGAGTGCACTGTCTGCTTATTTCTTGTGCAGAAGAAGCCACTGATATTCTTTGGTTGTTGCTTCTTCTCTACCCTGGTTCTACTTTTATCAATCACCTTTTTTCATAAGCGAAAGAGGAGAAAATTTTGGAAAGCAAAGGACTTCCAACACATACCATTAAAGAAAGGCCACAAGAAAGTTCTTAGCTAAACTGATCCTACTTCTGCCTGCATGATAGAAATCTTAAAAATTCACTCCAGTTCCATGTACTCATAACTTACATAAGATATACCTATATTGTAACAAAGAAAATTTGAGATATTAGTGGTAGCCAAGATGATGACAATCGATCTTGTGTTTCAGATGAATTTTCCTGTAGGTCTCTTCATGTCAGTGAATTCAGTTCTTGGATCTGAAGATAAAGGCTTTACCTAGACCAGCAATTATCAACCTTTTTCATCTCATGGCACACATAAACCAATTATTAACATTCTGTAGCACACCAAAAAATTTATTTTTGCTGATCTGACAAAAAAAAGTGTAATTCTAATTCATTCACACTGGATAGCTATTGTGTTAGCTGTTGTCATTTTTTTGACAATCTAAGGGAAAAGAGGTCAGTGCCCCTAAATAGGTATTGCATGTTTTAAAAATCCTTGCAGCACACCAGTTAAAAATCACTGACTTAGACAATAAGCTATGAAGATTATCTGATACATTGCTTCAATGATGTTTTCCATCATTCTTCTTTTATGAATACCAAGCTACTTGTCATAAAAAAAATTACTTTGAAAAAGTGCAACTTTGTTTTGTTAGACTCCATAGCAGAGATTTAAAACTCAACACTGGATGATCAGTGATATATTCTGTCACTTCTAATAAGGTGCTTTGCCCTTTATGGCAGAGTGGTTCTCAAATGGAAAGAGAAAAAACAATAGGGTAGAGTGCTGTCTATAGCCAGTTACAGCATACTCAAGCACATCCCTTAGTTTTCCTCAATAGAAATACAAATTATCATCTAATTTTGTGAGGTCTCTCCTTTATTAAGTGATTTTTTAAAAATAAGATGTTAACCTCCATTAACTCATCTCATGTAAAGATCAGAATACTAAGATTAAGGACAGCAAGACCCAAATGCCTGTCAAGATAGGAAGTCACCCAAGGAACTCTCTTTAGACAAATTGACATTCTTCCTCACATGAGTTTTGTGAGGTGACAAAATCGTATCTAGCATACTTAGGAAATGTTTTATTTATCCAAGTTATCAGACCAAGGACCATATCATTCCCAAGACTAGCTCTCCCCTGAGGAGCTTCACTCTTCAGACACCACATGCATACATGGACCTCTCAAGGTGTAGAATGCAGCCACATCTGGACCTAGCAACTATGACTCTTTGGATACAATTCAGAATGAGGAGTCTGAATGAGTTCCAACTTTTTACACTGCAGCTGAGATTTAGTGAATTCTTAAGTCTAAACTTGGAGTTTTAACTTTCTTAATTCTTTCTTATGATTTGTTCAGTGTATTCTAATTGTTGGAGGAATAAATCTTGCATGTAAACCCAATTATGCCCATTTTCTTTCTTTAGGTTAATCAACATTTAAACAACCACAGCAGCTAGTCACTAGCCATCCTCTCCAGAAATTCAGATTTTCTTAAGTCAAAGGAAAGCTCTTCAGTTCAAAAAGGCCTGGTAGGAAAATAATCTAAATTAAGGCAATTGTAATTGTTTTCCAAGGCCACCTCTACCAGAAGCCAAATTACATATATGAGATTCTAAGTGAAATAAATAAGTTTCAAAGATACTATAAAGAGGTAACACAATTGATCAAGTAAATGCAAAAGGAATGAGAAATCAGTTTGCTTTGGTTGGCCAAATTCAAATAGCAAATTTTGGCTATTGCTTTTTGTCTATTCATCTTACCCCCAGTGCACCCACTCCTCCAACCATGGCTGTTTTTAGATTTTTGATATTTTCATATGAACACTAAGTGGGCCTGAAGGTATACACAGTCAACTTTTTTTTTTTTTTTTAAAAAGAGGCATTTAAATTCATCACTTGGGCCTAACCAGTTTGGCTCAGTGGACAGAGCGTCAGCCTGCGGACTGAAGGGTCCCAGGTTCTATTCCGGTCAAAGGCATGTACCTTGGTTGCGGGCACCTCCCCAGTGAGGAGTGTGCAGGAAGCAGCTGAATCGATGTTTCTCTCTCATCGATGTTTCTATCTCTCTCTCCTTCTCCCTTCCTCTCTGTAAAAAATCAATAAAATATATATTTTTTTAAAAAAATAAAAAATAAATTCATCACTTGGCTCAGGTTTTTATTTTGTGGCACACATTCTGACCACAGAGCTCCTGTAAACAGTCTTATAGGAAGTACCAGTTAAGAATCTCTTATCAACTTTTCTTTTTTTCCATTGATTTTTTTATAGAATGGAAGGGAAGGAGGGGTGAAGAAACATCGATGTGAGAGACAAATCCACTGGTTGCCTCCCACATGTGCCCCCACCCCACCGGAGCCGGGGATTGAACCTGCAACCCAGGCATTAAACCTGAGACCCTTCAGTGTGCAGGCCAACCCTCTAACCACTAAGCATTATCACCCAGGGTGAAACTTGACCCAACTTTTTAACCAGTAACATCCAAGGTTTTGAAAAATGCGATTTTTGGAGAACCAAGATGGCGGCATAGGTTAACGCCGGAGTTTGCTGCTTTGAACAACTACTTCAAAAGTGAAACCAAAAAACGGAAGGGACATCACCCAGAACCACAGGAACGCTGGCTGAGTGGAAGTCCTACAACTAGGAGGAAAGAGAAACGCATACGGACACTCAGAGGAGGCGCAGTGCTGAAGTCAAATTCTGAGGTGCGGAGTGCGCGGAGCGGGCTGGCGGCGGAGGGCGCGGTTGGCGTTTTCAATCGGGAGGGAGTCGCAGAATCTGAGCTCCAGATCCGGGCGAGTCTTTAGGGACCCAGACTCAAACGGGAGAAGCGGGACTGTCTGGCTTCGGTCAGAGCGAGTGCAGCTTTCTCTCTGAGCTTTGCAGCCGGTGCTGGGACTCAGAGAGGCAGAGCCCCTGGGGACAGGACTGAGAGCCACCATAACTGCTCTCTCCGGCCCACCCTGTTGATCCTGTGCGACCCGCCCCACCCAAGCCCTGCACAGAGGCATTTGCCAGATAGCTTCAGGCAAAGGCTAGATTAGCACCTCCCTAGAGGACAGAAGTTCTCTCACTGCTGACACAGCTGATTCTCATAGCCACTTGGCCTGGAGGTCAAACCCTCCCTGGTATTAGCTACAACAATCAAGGTTTAACTATAAGACTGCGAACAAAGACCACTAGGGGGTGCACCAAGGAAGCGTAACAAAATGCGGAGACAACGAAACAGGACAAAATTGTCAATGGAAGATATAGAGTTCAGAACCACACTTTTAAGGTCTCTCAAGAACTGTTTAGAAGCCGCCGATAAACTTAATGAGATCTACAAGAAAACTAATGAGACCCTCGATCTTATATTGGGGAACCAACTAGAAATTAAGCATACACGGACTGAAATAACAAATATTATACAGGCTCCCGACAGCAGACCAGAGGAGCGCAAGAATCAAGTCAAAGATTTGAAATGTGAGGAAGCAAAAAACACCCAACCAGAAAAGCAAAATGAAAAAAGAATCCAAAAATGCGAGGATAGTGTAAGGAGACTCTGGGACAGCTTCAAGCGTACCAACATCAGAATTATAGGGGTGCCAGAAGATGAGAGAGAGCAAGATATTGAAAACCTATTTGAAGAAATAATGACAGAAAACTCCCCCTACCTGGTGAAAGAAATGGACTTACAGGTCCAAGAAGCACGGAGAACCCCAAACAAAAGGAATCCAAAGAGGACCACACCAAGACACATCATAATTAAAATGCCAAGAGCAAAAGATAAAGAGAGACTCTTAAAAACAGCAAGAGAAAGAAACTCAGTTACCTACAAGGGAATACCCATACGACTGTCAGCTGATTTCTCAACAGAAACTTTGCAGGCCAGAAGGGAGTGGCAAGAAATAGTCAAAGTGATGAATACCAAGAACCTACAACCAAGATTACTTTATCCAGCAAAGCTATCATTCAGAATTGAAGGTCAGATAAAGAGCTTCACAGATAAGGAAAAGCTAAAGGAGTTCATCACCACCAAACCAGGATTATATGAAATGCTGAAAGGTGTCCTTTAAGAAGAGGAAGAGGAAGAAAAAGGTAAAGATACAAATTATGAACAACAAATATGCATCTATCAACAAGTGAATCTAAGAATCAAGTGAATAAATAATCTGATGAACAGAATGAACTGTTGATTGTAATAGAATCAGGGACATAGAAAGGGAATGGACTGACTATTCTTGGGGGGGAAAGGGGTGTGGGAGATGCGGGATGAGACTGGACAAAAATCATGCACCTATGGATGAGGACAGTGGGTGGGGAGTGAGGGCGGAGGGTGGGGCGGGAACTGGGAGGAGGGGAGTTATGGGGGGGAAAAAAGAGGAACAAATGTAATAATCTGAACAATAAAGATTTAATTAAAAAAAAAAAAAGAAAAATGCATATTTAGCCATAAGAATAACAATGGAGCTAAGTTTAGGTTTTGCTTTTTTGGTCTCTACTTTGTATCTTATATTCATGGGTTTACAATTCCATTAATCAAACTCACTATTTTTCAAATGTCTTTACATTTAGAGCTTAAAAATGTATTATCCATTTTCAAACTTGTTGCCTTGCCATAAACTCTCCCAAATATGCAAATTCCAAACCCAATGCTTACAGTCCTCCCTTTCTGCCACTTGGGAAGTATTTTGACACCATTTAAGAATCCTTAGGTAGCCTGGCCAGCATGGCTCAGTGGTTGGGGTTCGACCTATGAACAGGTCAGTTTAATTCCAGTCAGGGCACATGGCCGGTTGCGGGCTCAATACACAGCATGGGGCATGGAGGAGGCAGCCAATGACTATCTCATCATTCATGTTTCTCTCTCCTCCCTTCTACACTGAAATCAATAAAAATATATTTTAAAAAGTATTGCATTAGCCGAAACCGGTTTGGCTCAGTGGATAGAGCATCGGCCTGCAAACTGAAGGGTCCCGGGTTCGATTCCGGTCAAGGGCATGTGCCTGGGTTGCGGGCACTTCCCCAGTGGGGGATGTGCAGGAGGCAGCTGATCAATGTTTCTCTCTCATCGATGTTTCTAACTCTCTATCTCTCTCCCTTCCTCCCTGTAAAAAATCAATAAAATATATTTAAAAAAAAAAAAGTATTGCATTAAAATACAATTTATCTTAGTTATCTGTAGGTAAGTATTCAATGTGGCTCATGACCAATCATATTTACTATTTAGGTTTAGCTAAACTCATTTAAAAATCATAAAGGGTCAATTAGAAATGGTTAATAACATTTGACAGAGTAAGATCTTTAGAGTAAGTTTTTGAGATTTGTTGGGGGAAAAAATCTTAAAAATCTAACTTGTTATGGTTGCATATGCAATATAACCATCTTTCACTAACAAGTCTTTGATATATGTATATGGAAATATCACAACCTAATTATGGTTTAAAGAGCTGGAATATGAGGTCAGTTTATTGACTTAATTTTCAATTTACTCTAAATTAACTGTTAACAATTAGGTCAAATGTAAGAATTGTGAAATATGAATGGGTTTGATGTTAACTGGGTGCTGTACCAACACTGCCTCCCCCTCCTCTCAAGCTGTGTGCCAACCAGATTAACGTCTCATTATAAAATATGTACTCCTCCACCTCAAAGTTGGGGCAATACAGTGCTTATCCAAAGAAGACCCAGAGGATAGGAAAGACTTCCTTGGGGAGAACTAGACTTTCATTTACCACACCCAAGTAACAAAATGGAGATCACTCCTTGGATACAACCAACCTCCAATAGCTATCTCCAGTGAAGGTCTCACCCTGCATGACAATCCACTTCACTCTTGGAGAAATCACACTTACTCTCAGAGTTGCTACTATGGTCTATTACCCACACTCAATATTAACATCTGTGATATTGCCACTTGAAAATTTCTTCCTCACATCCAGCTCTGAAATCCTGTCAAAACATCTCCTTTACATTTCCACTGCTATTACCGTCTTAAATCTTTATAAACTGAACCTCCCTGGCAATCTGGGTACCATTCACTTGGCAAACAGTTATGTGCCAAACACTGTTCCAGGTACTTAAAATATCCCTATAGAAACCCACCCCTCTATGAAGGTTAATTTAGCATCAAGAAAACATACAATTAACACATGACAAACTACAAATATTACATTGAAACAGAGTAAGGGTATGCTAGGTTGGGGGTGAGGAGTGAGCACAAGAG